GGAAACGTAGAAATTACAGGAGGTGGGAGAGGGAGTTTTAAGAGGGAGAGGGAGGAGTTGGGAGAGTTTGGGAGTTACAGGAAGTGGGAGTTGGGTTACTGGATACATGGGGGTTAGAGGACCGGGAGTTTCATAGAAATAAGGTTTTAAATACGTGGATAATGAGAAAGGTTACTGTTCATTTTAGTTTTTTTTTGTTCTCTTTTTAAAGAAGTAGATAAATAAATAAATTAATTTAAGTAAGAAGTACAAACAAATAAAATAAAGTGCTTGCCAGATGTTAAAGAATCTATTAAACATAAAATTATGTACAAGTAGACAGACAGTGGAAGCTAAGGATTTGTTGTAATTTAGTCAGATGATTGGATCTATCCGAGAGTTTATTGAAGTATATTCGGATATTTATACCCGCAATTTTTTTGATTTTAGACATTTCTCATGTGGGGATAATCTTCATCTTGACCTTTTACAAATAAATAAAGCGCTTCAGTTAAGACATTTTTAACGTAAACAGATCCGACCCGCTAACCCGCCTACCTATAGAGTTCCTCAGCGTAGGGAGAGAGAAAAAAAAGGTAGGGGGGTTATTCATTGGGGTAAATATTAGGATAATGAAATAATTTTTGGAACAATATCTTTTGGTGTTATTCATTGGTGTAATTAGAACTGGAACTAACTTTGTGATTTTATTGGTTTGTTAGAGTAATTGTGGGACAAATACGCCAATTTCCCCCAATTAACCCACCTATATAAAGAGTTTTCAGCCACCACCCCCAAAATTACCCCATTTCGAGCAAGAGTGGGGAAACATTACCCACGATCGTCGTTCTCGAGCTCGATCGCCCGCTCCGCCGTCGCCGTTCTCGAGGTCGATCGCCCGCTCCGTCGCCATTCTCGAGGTCGCCCGCTCCGTCGCCGAACCCTTGCTAGTTCTTGCGATCTCAAGGCTGCTAGTTCTTGCGATTTCAATTAGTTTAAGGTACTTTTAATTCTTATTTGATGTTATATTATGGAAAATTGAATTTTTTAGGGTTTCCCCTCTTTTATTGCCCTAAGTTGGGGTTTATCCATCGATTTTGCCAGGGATTCAGGGATTGAACCAATTTCTAAACTTTAGGCATCAGCTTTTTAGTTTTTTAGGGTTGAAGTTCTGATATTGGGTTTAGTGATTGGCTTATAGTAAGAACTTGATTGCCTATGTTGGCCATATCTTTTGTTTTCTGAGTGCATGAACTTCTTAATGTATACAAAGTACATACCCAACTAAAGAAAATATGCAATCCCTACATATTTCCTTACATCCATTCCGGTATTTTTTTCCCATTTTTGATCCAGGACCTTTAGGCAATGTACAAAAGTTTTATGAAAAATAGGTGTAGAAGGTGAACCTGGCAAAGATTTGAACCTTTTATCTGATTCTGATGATTCAACAATCAATACCATTAGATGAACAAAGAAATATCATGGATCATGGACTGGTTCTTGGGCTCAATTCTTGACTAGGTTTTGTATTTAACAATTATCCATATGAGCCAAATTTGATCATTCCTTCGAAAAAATTGAAGAAAAATCTATAGATCTAACAGGTCATTTCAGTGATGTAGTCTATTACAGAAACAAATATAAGTATTTTCCAATATAAAATTATGTCAAACTTGGCAAGCAGTTAGCAGCTACCATGAGAAGTTTTGGAAGGTATAACTGTGTCTAAATAGCAAAACAATTGAGAACTGTACGCTAAAAAGTTGTCTTTTTTTAATGAACTTATTAGATGTTTTTTTTTAACAGTGTGTAGTGAAGGGAATTTCTTGGCCAAAAACAACCAATCTCATGCACTTATATTAATTGACTTGCAGGTTCTGTCTAGAGCTAAGGTATCAATTAACAGGAACAAAAAAAAACTGTGTTTATCCATATAATAAATAGGAAGTGTATACCTTCATGATACATCAAGTACAATCCTACCTTAATCCTACTTCAACAAACATTTTGCAAAAACTGTGTCTACCCTCGGAGTGATCAAATCCATAAACTCTTGCAAAAATTCCATAAAAATTGCTGCTCTCGTCTCAGATTTCGATCCATCAGAATACCATGGAGGCCGTACAGATCCGCCCTCCCCTCTCGATTGCTAGGGTTTCTTCTTCTTCTCTCGATCGGAGGTGCTCAAGTCGCCAGCTTGTTAGGATCCCAGCTGTCGCTACACGAAAGAAGGTAAATTTGCGATTTCTAAACCCAATTCTACGAGCAATTTCTTGATTTATTTTGTGGTTCTTATTAATGGTGTTTAGTTGATTTTTTTAATATTTGTTGCGTGCTTAATTATGTAGTTTGTTAATTACTGGTTTTGATAATTGGATAAGTAACGTTGGAATGAGAAAAATGTTATTTGCCAATTGTGTACATTGTTCTTAAGATGGAACAGGGTTATGAAAAATTTATCAGAAAACATGAAGTTGGAAATGATCATCAGACTCATCTGGGAACTAACTTGGAGAAACCTGCAACATTCAGAGTTGTACAATTATAAGTTGAATTTAGTTTCGGATGCATCAGAATTCTGCAACATACAGATGCAATGTTTTTTTCCATCTTGTTCACTACTTTTTCCTTCTTTTAGAAGGATAAGGGCCATTTTTTTAAAGCACAGTCGTTGCTATCTACTACAAAGTAGTAAATTAGTTCAGGATATATGTTTTGAAATTTTATATCCTTTTTGTTTGAGTCACGGGATCAGTGAAGATCTTATTCACACTCTATAATATTTATCTATTGCTAGAGGAGCTATAACATCGCAGAAACTAGGTTCTTCTTTCTTTTAGTTATTTCTTTGTAGACTGGGTTTTGAGGAGTTAAGAAACGAAGTCATAGGTACCAAGATGGGGTAAAAGATAGAGGTTGATGCTGTACTTAACATTTTATCATGATTCAGTGTGTATGGGGTCTACCAGACCACTCACAGCTTGTAGCTGGAGATAAATATTCTGTTCAAATCCATATATTCTGGATATTTGCATTTATTGTGTATAACTTTCTTTTTTAGAATGGACATATGCAAGAACTATCAACCTTTGACTGCTCCATTGATTTCAGTCCCCATGTCAAGGTTTGGTTTTGATGGTTTCAAATGTTTCAATATTTTGCCTTCCAGTTTGAACAAAAAAGTAAATAAAAGCAATAATTATAACATCAACAAAGCAAAAATGTATATTGGAGTATCGTGTTCTTGCTCTTGTTTCCTTGTCCTTGCACTACTAGCTCTTGCCTGAAGAAACCGCGAAGAATTTCGAAGAAGAACAGGTGTTGGGATCCGCATGAGTCACTTTGGAAGCTGCACGGTCGACCACGACGTAAGGCCGGTCGACCGCGAACGGCGCGGTCGACCGTCGCGGTCGACCGCGAGACCCTGTAGGCGAATTTGGGCTCTGTCGTTTGTCACGATCGACCGCCAGACCCTGTAAGTGATTTCAGGTTTTGTTTGTTGATCGCGATCGACTGTGGCGGTCGACCGCGTAACGGGTCAGGCCCAAACTTGTGTTTTCTGTTCTTATTTGGTTTTGGTGTTTGTATAAATACCAATACACGTTCTAGGATTTCTTAAAGCAATAGTTTGGGATATTTAGAGCACAAAAAAGAGGTATTTTCTGAGCTATTTGATTAGGGTTTATTTGGAGAGATTAAAAGTTTTGTTGGTGAGATTAGTTTGTTCCTTCGAGTGATTTGTAATCTCAAGTTGTACTCTTCTTCTCTATTAGTGAAAACTCCATCCCCTTCTTATCTTGTGGACGTAGGTAACTTGCGAAACCACGTTAAAATTGATGTTTTATTTGTGCATTGATTTTGGTTGGTTTTGGCCCTCTTTGATTGGCGTTTGGTTTGATTGCTCGACACCAAGGTTGCTGATAGCGGATCGCGACGCGTCGCGGCGAGGTACCGCTAAGGCTATTGCACGCTATTGCGGCGAAATAGCGGCAAATAGCGCACAGTCAAATAGCGGTCAAATATAAATATATTTAAATGTTCTAAATAATAAGAAAAATCATATAAAAATCTAAAAATTCTACAAATGCATACTTGATGCCTTAACATGAATAGATGTGTAATAATTACATAATATTAACAAAATACTATAATTATAAAGATTAAAGAATAAAAAACACACCTATTTATCAAAAAGACCGTTATTTGTCTCATGTTTTCACCTTTCAAGTCTCTAATATAAAAATACTCAATAATAAAAAACATTGATTAGTAACATCATCATTATATTAACTACTAGAAATTTAACATAAAAATAAAATATTCTACCTATGTGAGAAAATTACTGATAATTATCTATTTCACAAGTTAAAATTCTTAACTTCCTTTAAGGAATTCATTTACTATCTATTTGCCATGTCTTGGCTTTCATCATAAAATTGAAAAGGACAACATTCTGTTATATAGGAAAATAAAGCAATGAAGAAAATATTTTTTTTGAGAGAACTATGGGAAATCAAATTACATTTTAGAAATTTACAACTAACAAGCATTTCTTTTCAAAAATGAAAATCAAATTATTACCCTGTTTGTTCTCTCTGTTGCAGACAAAGCCCAACAGAGAGGAAGGTGACCGGAGGCGACGCGACGTTGACCGGAGAGAGAGGGAGAAATAAAATCAAACAGCTACCGCTCGTGAAGCAGAACCTGAAGCCAGCCCTCTCCACGAGCTTGGCACTGAGCGCATCAAAGCAAGCAGGCCCCTGATGAGCTCCTGGAGACTCCAATATCCTCCTCAGAGCCTTCGACGGTGATTCTCCTGTTGTGCAAGCAAACGAGGGTCTGTAGCAATTTCTTTTATATTTTGGTGAAGGAGAGGAGAGAGATGGCGTCGACCGAAGGTGCTGCTGGTGCGGGAGATGGTGTCGACCGGAGGCGACGTTGATCAGAGGCGACGTTAGAAGGAGTCGTCGGAGGAGGTGAAAGAGAGAGGCACAGGAGTGACAGGAGGGAGAGTAGGCGGCTAGGGCAAAAGAGTCGGGATTTGGGAAATCTGAAGAGATGGGTTTTTGAAGAATGGGTTTGGGTCGGGTTTTCGATGAAGTATCCGCTGCTTTATGAAATACTGTAGCGGGTTTTAGCGATTTTAAGCGCTTTTGTCCGCTAAACTCCGCTTTTTCGCGCATTTTGAGCGCATAGCGGTTTTCTCCGCTAATCCTCCCTGTGATCTCCTTAAGCGTCGCGCTGAAAGGCCGCGACCCGCTATAGCCCCGCTATTGCCCCGCTATTGGCCGCTATTTACAACATTGCTCGACACGGTTTTTAACAACAATTGGTATAAGATCCCAACAATTGGTATCAGAGCTCGGGCTACGTTTGGGCTATTTAGAGTAGATCGATTTGGGAAGCCCGTCTAGGGTTTCAGTTGGTGAGAAAAGTGAGATCTTTTTGGTAAAGCTTCTTTCTTTTCTCAGTTTTGGATCTATTCTTCGTTTGTTTCCGCACTGGATCTTTTTGGTAAAGCTTCTTTCTTTTCTCAGTTTTGGATCTATTCTTCGTTTGTTTCCGCACTGGTTGTTGGTGTGTTGATTTCTTTTCTCAGTTTTGGATCTATTCTTCGTTTGTTTCCGCACTGGTTGTTGGTGTGTTGAGGATTATGACCTAGAAAGAGGGAGTTGATGGTGGTTTTTCAAGTGTGAAGACTACCCAAAGTTTGAGTATCCACTCGATGAAGATTGACGTGGAGAAGTTCAATGGCACTAATAATTTTGAACTTTGGCGATATGAAGTCTTAGATACGCTCAATGCGTAGAATTTGAAAAATACGTTAGAGTTGGACGGGAAATCGGACGACATTGATGAGAAGGTTTGAAAAAAGATGAATCAGACAGCGTGTGGTGTGATTAGGTCTTGTTTCACTCAAGATCTATAATATGATGTGATGAATGAGACTTCAACTAAGAAGATTTGAGAAGTCCTAGAGAGCAAGTACTTGACGATGAGCGTCGAAAACCGCTTGCATTTGAAGATGAGGCTTTATCGTTTCCAATTGAAGAAGGGGACATCCATTAGTGATCACATGAACCACTACACGAAGCTTCTTACCGATTTAGCGAATGTAGATGTCATTGTTGAAGATGAAGACAAGGCGTTGCTATTGTTGAGTTCTTTGCTCGACGAGGAATATGAGATGTTTATCTTTACTCTTATTAATGGGAATGCGTCTCTTTCATATAGTGAGGTCACCGCTGTATTAGTGAATTATCAACTTAGGAAGAAAGACAAGAAGACTTCTATTGAGCCGGTAGCGGGGGCATTGGTTACAAGAGCAAAGAGTCCAAACCGAGGTAGAAGGTCACAGTCTAGAGGGGCACATCTTGGAATTCGTAGGAATCAGTGTGTTTTTTTATAAAGAAGATGGACATTAAAAAACCGAATGCCCAAAGTTGAATGATCAAGTCGGAAAGAATAAGAGGAAAGTTATTCAGGTTTTAGAGGTGAATGTTGTCAAGGCTAGTGATAACAATTCAGATTCAGATTCTTCGGGCTACTCATTATTTGCACTGTCGTCGATTTGTGTTGCCTACTCTACAAAGTGGATGTTTGACTTGGGTACTACATACTACATTTGCTCTAGGAGGGATTGGTTCTCCAGCTTTCAGGAGTTGGAATGAGGGAATTTTGTGCTCATGAGTAATGATCATGAATGCCCTATTGGTGGTATTAGCACCGTTCGGATTAGGATGAGTGGCGGAGTGATTCGGGAGTTGGTTGGAGTGAGGTTCGTTTCTCAGTTAAAGAAGAACATTATTTCATTTGGAGCTTTGGAGGCAGCAGGTTATAGGGTAACCTTGACAGATGCAAGTTTGAAGGTTATATTTGGGTCTATGATTGGGATGAAGGACGTCAGAAGGAGTAACTTATACTATTTGCTTAGGAGCACGATGATTGATAGAGCTCTGATGACTTCATTGGTTTTGGCTAGATTGTGACGTGGTTTGGTGCTGGGGTATTTGATTGGTGATGCCGTGTATAGGTTGTTGATGAGTGTTTTGACCTGCAGATGGAAGTTCTTTGAGCACATTATGATGAGCAAGACCATGATGGAGTTTGGCACTTTTATCCATCGAGTGTTGGGTCTTTTAGGAGGTGTTCAGTCAGGCATTTGGGGGCCTTCCAAGGAGGCATCATTTGGAGGTAATCGTTTTGTAGTTTTCGCAGTTGGTGATTGTTCT